TATTTATTTAAATATCATTATGAAATAATACATTTCCTCTTCAGATTATATTATTTAAACATCATTATTTAAAGCAATTATTTTAAGATATATTTACTTGATCAAATGATAATGAGATATTATCATGAATTATTTGTGTATTATCATGTATCAGCTATGTCTAAACACATTATTAGAATCATAAATTGAATAAATAATCAATACTTGAATATTTGAATAATTGAATTCATAATTGAATAACAGAATCAATAGTTGAATCAATAAAATTATATAATCATGGTCAAATTGCGCTAATCGTGTTAAAAGATGGAACAACTCCTACTTAAAAATCTCCTTATTATCATGACTTAATCATTTCATATCTTTGTATTGATTCAATTGTTTTGCATTGCCTTTTTCAGCTTCAAACTGCTTACTGCGGTCCATCATCTGATATACGGCCGCTATGAAAATGAAAAAAATTATGTTCCAGTCCTCAACATCCAAATATAGAATTGATAAAAATGCATGATAAACATCTTAATTTCTTAATAACACAGAAGAGTATAATTATTTTATATACTTGGCTCAAAATATTTGCAGGGCAGTGTAGATACTGATTTCTTGAAAATTAACTAATCGTTTTCAAATGTTAATTTAAAACGAAAAGAACAGTGTATTATAAGAGTCCTACTGAACATCTTTCCAAAAGCAATAAAAAATATTATGAAAAGTGAACAAAGCAAATATTTTGAAGAATTATTTTCTTTTATATTCGACTGAATTACGCGTTTTTATTTTCTGAATCTTGATCAGTTAAATATATATTAAAATAATTGCTTATCACAAAATATAGCATTTACACTATTTACATTGTTCGAACTCTATTTCTAATCTTTCTTGTCATATTCACGACGTTTCAGACCTTGTACGCTCCGGCTTTCTTAAGGTAATATACATTGGAATTTCGAACTGAATCCTTTCTTTAATAAAAGCTGTAAAAATGAGGACAACAGTCCGAACAATATAAATAGTGTAAATAGTTACAATACCTCATCTCAGAAATATAGACAGATAAAATATAGTCTTAATATAATTTAGTAAATAAATAACATAGTAATAATTGTGATAGAAAACTCTCGTATATCATGCAATGAGGCTACATAATTTACTCAATCAGTTCATTAAATATACGCTGATTTTCTTCATTGATTAGACACATATTTTATGTTCCAACTGTTCATGGTAGTAAATAGTTATCATCATTTATTTTCTATGCTAACGTTTTCACCATTTTATTATACACTTTTGCTCAATTGAGGTAAATTATTAACCAAGATGGCCAGAAATTATTCGTCTTCAAATATGGCCCTAAAATCTCATCTAAGACGCAAGTGTTAAGCAATAATTTTTATATATCTCTATATCTGTCTTTCTTCGTAGTATCTTTCGCTCCAACATTTTTTTCTTATATGCCAATTTCGGTGTCTTTTGATGGCTTAAACAGATTCGTGCTTCCTTCGGGCGAATGTACTCTTTGTTCAAACCAAAGCAAATGCTACTTTTTTCAAATACAGATCCCCCAGTTTGAGAAAAAAATGATCAAAAACAAACTCGCTGGTATTATATCCTTATAAAGAAAAATCTAAATTCCTTTATATTATCGATCGTAAAACCTAATTTTCTTACTATAGTTACCTACCTCAGCACTCACACACATATATACACGCACATATATACATACACACATACATGCATATATATATATATATATATATATATATATATATATATATATATATATATATATAGAACAAGGATCATAATTCTATTTTTAAAATAGATACAAAAGTATCACGTTAAGATTTTAGGCGCCTTTCGGCGGGCACTTTGTCAGAAACAAAATCGTCGGCATTATAAAATGAATTAGTTGATAAGAAAATTTTTACCAACAACTGATACTAAGACATAAATTACCACCTAGAGTAGGCAACTGGAGAGGAGAGGGGGAAAAATTACAATTGTTTCCCCGAATAGTGCCAACTTATATTTCAATTCTCGTTGTCTACACAGGGTAGAACGTTTCATGTTAATAATGATAGACACCAGGATGTCTAAATCGAGTTTCGGTCGTGCCCTGAGCAAAACAGAAAAGAAATCAGAAGAATAACACGTCCTGCAAGCAACATAATTTAAAATGTGTTCACCAATCGCAGAATCATGAGTCTGCGAACGCCCGGATATCACAGGCTCGTGTCTTCGCACCAGGCCCGGTTCATGCCGGGCGATCCTAACATGTAACCTCTGGATTGTCTTGCATACATAGTCGTTCTCACATCGACATTTATTGTTGATATATTACCAAACTTTGTTAATTGGTAGACAAGACATCCTTACGGCAAGGGGAGAAATCCCTCCTAATTGTAAAAGCATTCCTGACCATAACAGCATTGAAACACAGTTTAATAGAATTAGAAATTTTGCCAGCATAACTCCCGGAACCAATCCACGGGAGCCTCAT